TGTAAGACATCAGATAACTCACAACCAGTTTCCTCTGAGAACAAGAAATAGAATGGAAAATAACAACTTGCTGGCTAAGGAATGTTCTTCCCATGGTGTGTGCCTGAGGCTAGAATGAACCTCAAGAAGGTCATTGGTGACCCTAATAATGTCCTCTGCCATTCTCTTTTCTGTGAAAGTTGTACTTAAAGTCATCTCTACCATCAAGTCAATGCTTCCACAGAAGAGGCGATGCTATCCAACACAATGAGCGCATGTCTAAAAATCCAGTGACCTGTGCAAGATTTGGCTCTGTCCTTGCATATATGAAAAGTGACCTTGTCAAGGTCATCTCACTCCTTAGGAACTCAGTACAAGGTACATGCTCAAAAGGACTGAAGGTTACTTCCTGAGCTAAAATGCAACAATATCTTTTCCCATAATATTCAGTGGTGTCAAGATAATACAACAATTCTATGGTGCTTAGGAGTAAGGGCTCCACAAATTATGTAAGAATTAAGAGTTACGAACCTGTGTCTGAATCTGGGCTCTGCCATTTACTTGTTGAAGACCTTAAGCAAATTACTTGACTCCTCAGTTTCCTCACATGTAAAAATGAGGGTACTAATATTATCTAACTCATAGTGTGTGAGGATAATATAAACAATACACATATACCTTAGCTACTATAATGTAAGTACTCAATAAAAGGTAATAATTATATCATTCCTGAAATTGATTCATACATCCTCAGTGGCTCCATACCTGTGAACTAAAAGATGAAATGTGAATTCTAAAATTGCCTCAAGGGCAATCCCCTTGGGTCCCCTCCCACTGTGGAAACTCTTCTGTCCTCTTAATAAATCCTTTCAAAAAAAAAAAAGCCTTAAAACAACATCCAGCACAGCCCCTCATTTCACTTTGCCTCCATATATCCATAAATAAAATGGGGATTACAATACCTTGTATCTTCTCTAGTACAATTAATCAGTTTTGACCAAATAAAAAATATATAAGCATAAATGAGATAACAGAATTATCTGTTATAAGAGTTAAATAAGATGACAAAGGCTGGGATGGGAGTGGTGGCTCACACCTGTAACCCCAGCACTTTGGAAGGTCAAGGTGGAAGGATTGCTTGAGTCCAGGAGTTCGAGACCAGCCTGGACAACATAGTGAGACATCATCTCCATAAAAAATAAAATAAAAACTAAAAAGCTCAGGTTCACAAATTTTAAATTCAGAACTACTCAGACCTCCTGGGAGTTCAAGATTTCTAGGGTGGTTAATTCCAGTTGATAACAAGTGGCTAATGTGGGTAGGTAATCAATAGTGTCAAAGAGCACATTGCTCAGGAAATGCTTGCTGAATAAAAAGGATGTATATATATGCTTGTTGTTATAAACCTGTCTAGACTTTTTAAAAAATAAACTAAGTTATAAATCCATAACATTCTTCATATTTGGTTACCTTAATGACTGAGCCATATGAGGCTGAGATAACCAATGTACAAAATGCATTCGGTTTCCACTTGCTGCTCTGCCTCTATCTTCCACACTGCAATGTTACTGCAAATAAAGTTGGGGGAAGGGCAACTTCCACCTAATCACATCAAGACACAAAGCAATTAAGACTTCCACTTCACTAGTCTCCCATTAAAACCTGATTTAAAGGTTTCCATGCAAGCAGGGACCGCAAATATTTTATCCTATTTAGTTCTAATTTTACAAATAATTCAGGATAAGCATACTAGAATCAGTATTCACAATATGAAGGCACTAGACCTTCTGATAGGTCCTGACATTTGGAGACATCCTAAAAAAGTAGCAGTGTTTGAAAAACCTCCCCAGTGATATCTTTACATCATGCACTTGGTAGTTCCTCACTATTTGGCATACATTACCTCCATATACAGAAAGACTATGTCAGCAATATTCAGAAGGCCAGTTTTAGAACATGCAGAATCTTAAAGTTTCTGTACATATTTTCCCCATTCAGTAAAAAGCCAGATTTACTCTGTAAATCTTCCCTTTCACAAGAGAAACCAAGGGCTATGGCTTAAATATCTAGTTAAAGAACCCATATTCGGCCAGGTGCAGTGGCTCACGCCTGTAATCCCAACACTTTAGGAGGACGAGGTGAGAGGATTGCCTAAACCCAAGGGTTTGAAACCAGCCTGGGCAACTTGGTGAGAACTCATTTCTACAATAAATCAAAAAATTAGCTGGATGTGGTGGCTCGCACCCATAGTTCCAGTTACTTGGAAGGCTGAGACGGAAGGAATACCTGAGCCCAGCGGGTTGAGGCTGCAGTGGCTGTGAGCATGCCACTGCATTCCAGCCTGGGCAACAGAGTGAGACTCTGACTCAAAAAAAAAAAAAAACTCAAATTCTAGATGGCTATAATTCTGTGGTCTGAATTCTTGAACAGAACAACAAATTCTTTTTTTGAGTTGGAGTCTCACTCTGTCGCCCAGACTGGAGTGCAGTGGCGTGCTCCCGGTCACCAAACCTCGGCCTGCTGGGCTCCGGCGATCCTTCCGTCTCAGCCTTCCAAGTAGCCAGAACTACAGGTGTGCGCTACCACGCCCAGCTAATTTTTGATATATTGTAGAGACGAGGTCTCACCAAGTTGCCCAGGTGGGTCTTGAGTCCACGGGCTCAGGCAATCCACTCACCTTGGCCTCCCAAAGTGCTGGGATTACAGGCTGAGTCACCAAGCCCGGCCAACAAATTCTTACTAATTATATTCTCCCATTTAACACACTCTTAAAATCTAGAAATCAAAGGAGGATGATCTACTTCAAAACATAAAACTATTCAGGAGTTTGACTAGTCAGGTTTATGTTAATAACTTGATGTAACTACAGGCTTTGGCATCAGACAGCCTGGGTTTGAACTCCAGTTCAATCACTTACTAAGTGGCACTGGATAAGCTACGTAATCTCTCTCATCTGCAGTTTCCTCATCTGCAATATGAGGATATCAATGCCTATCTTCTGGTATTAAATGTACCCCAAAATATCAATTATCTTCCTCTACTACTACTATAAATTCCTTCCTCTCAAAAATATAGTTACATTCGCATAAAACTGAATAAATTTGAAAACCACAGGAACTTCTCGAAATTGGTATGAAAACAGAACTGTAACATGTAAAACTAAAAAGGACCACCTAACAAAGACAAGGAAAAACAAATTCGGAAAATACAGAGGTTTAACATAAATGTGTTTCTATGGTCCTGGCGCCTTGAGAAGAGCAAATGTAAAGCAATCCAAATCACTATGATTCAGATTCGGAGGAAAATGAATATACTCCTAACAAGCTGACTCTAACAACTCTTATTAGAACAAAAGCTTTTTGAAATATGAATCAGAAAGTGCTGACAAGTCCCGTTACTTAAGGCAAGTTTCAAGAGGTTATGCACTGGCTTATTTTCACATGGAGCTGCTTACTTCAAAAAAAAAAGGAAATTACAAGTGTATATGGGAATAGGTATATGTTTTAGGTACACATACAAGAAAATAAATGAGCCAAGAATCAAAATCCCTGGTTAGCTCCCTTCCCCTTAAAAAGCAGTGGCTCACATCTGTAATCCCAGCACTGTGGGAAGCCAAGGTGACAGGACTGCCTGAAGCCAGGGGTCTGAGACCAGCCTGGGCAACTTGAGCTACTTGGAAGGCTGAGGCGGAAGGATCACCTGAGCCCAGCAGGTCAAGGCTGTGGTGGCCATAAGCGTGCCACTGCACTCCAGCCTGGGCGACAGAGTGAGACTCCGACTCAAAAAAAAAAGAAAAGGAACCTATCGATATTCATTCAACAAATAACTATCAAATACCTAATATTTGGTAGAAATGTAGCTTTGTAAACTCAGCCGTGTCCTCTATCATTCCTAGTGCAGGAAATTTCATACACATCACCTCAAAACTAGATGCATGGTCCTGAGAATCAATAATCTGTAACTGTTCTCTTAATGTACTTCCCAAGTCTGAAAATGTTCCCCAAAATGCTTCCTATATCGGACTTTCTCACTTTTCAACACACAATTTAATGCTGAGCCTCCTCGGCTTGGCATAGAGCTATTAAGACCGGGCTCAATTATCCAACAGGATTCTTCTCTCTGTTTACATTTTCCTCACATCACATCCCAGGTCCAATAACTTTGGACTCCAGGGCTGCACCAAAACCTCAGTGTTTAACTGCTCATACTCTCCAGCAAAAACTGTGACCTGATTCCCATCATTCACATATGTTCCTATCCCTTACGCCTATCCTACAATACGCACTCAAAGAATGGGCTTCAGGGTCACTCTCAAGCTGGGTCGCACTCCAAGTCCAGCACCCTTGGATCTCAACGACCCTCTCAGCCTATAACTCAGGTTTCGGTGTTTCAACGCCTTGGACTCTATGGACTTGCGCCCAACTCGGGCCATGCACGTATCCAGGAAAGGGGATTTCCTTGGAAATTCCTCTAGAATGGGGATTTCCCCCATTCTGGGCCATGCCCTAGGATGCCCCCAAAGCACCTGCCAGGTTATCACTCCCCCGCCCTTAAGGCCTCTAGGCGCGCCCCCAGCCTCCACCCTACGCTTGCGCTGTCGGGGGTCACTGCCCGGTCGCCCGAGCCCAAGAAGCGCGCATCCCTGCAGCCTCCGATTCCTTCTTCACCCCCCAGGCCGGAGCCGGCGCGACCAATAAGGTGCCGGGTCCGCGGCCTCCCCGCCACCGACCAATCACGAGCGAGCCCCCCCGCCGTCGCCTTCCGCCAATGGGAGAAAGCCCG